CGAGCAGAGTCACCTTTTACTTTAGTCCATTCAGATGTTTGGGGTCCTAGTCGAGTCAGTTCCACCTTGGGATTCCGCTACTTTGTCAGTTTCATTGATGATTATTCCAGGTGCACTTGGATATTTTTGATAAAAAATCGATCTGAGCTGTTTTCTATTTTCCAGACCTTCCACGCTGAAATTCAAAATCAATTTGGGGTTTCTATTCGCACATTTCGTGGTGATAATGCCCGAGAGTATTTGTCTTCCCCATTTCAGCAGTTTATGAAATCTCATGGGATTATTCATCAAACATCTTGTCCGTATACATCTCAACAAAATGGGGTAGCTGAAAGAAAGAATAGACATCTTATTGAAACTGCTCGTACCCTACTCATACAATCCCATGCTTCGTTGCGTTTTTGGGGGATGCAGTTCTTACATCTTGCATCACTCCAATGACCATTATTCACAGGGTAATTAACTTATGGAATGAAATCCACCTACTAAAAGGCAGTTACAGATGGTAGTCTTTGGCTCTCTGCTTTAGCTATCCAGAATCAAGTTCCATTCTCTGTCGATGTTTTCCCACTTACCAAGCTTCATCCATATCCTTACAGCATTGAAGTTGAAATGATGATGGTTTAAAGGTAACTCGTCAATGCCTAGTATCTTTTTCTATTGGTAAGATCTATAAAGACAAGATTTGGTGTGACGTAGTGAATATGGATGCTTGTCACTTATTACTTAGAAGACCATGGGTGTATGATAGGTGTGCTAAATATGATGAAGACCTTAATACCTATTCTTTTACAGAGAATGGACGTAAGATTATTTTAGTACCAGCTCAATGATGATTCTTTTCTGAACAAATTACAAATAATTGGTCCAATCAATGGAGAAAAGTCTTTGAATGTTGGTATTACTACGGAAGAGCACAAGGAGGAGGAGCATGCACTAGATCCACAAGTTGAGAATTTACCTCAGAAGTTTGATGATGATCCGTTGGAGCATCCCATATGTGAGCTTAACTTTTCACCTAATAGAGATCCTCAATATAATATTAATTTGATTGTTGATTCTATCCTTCCAAACGAGGCAACATATTGCATTAATCTAGAAGTCCATGAAATTTTGCAAACACAACAGGAAGGGTTGCTTAAAAAGGAGTCCATAATGGAGGGTTTGAGTTCATATTTTGTTCCAATTTTTTTCTTGCCCCCAAAGGATGAATATATTCAAGAATATGTAAGAGATCTCAACACAAATTCCATCAATGGTCATGATCTAGTTAAATATGAGAGCGTTGTTGCTGATGAATTCTCAAGAAGATATACTTCGATCTCCAAGCTTGATCCAAAGGTACTTGAATTTGATTCTTCTATGGGCTTTTATGATGCTAAATCGAATTTTCTTGGCATATCCCATAAGCACCACATTGACATGGAGAAGTTCAAGATTTCTGAAGATTAAAAGAATATAACTTATGATTGTGGATTAGTGTTTAAAAATCAATTTAAGAGGATTCATTGCAGCAATATTGGTACAAAGTTACTATTGAGAAAGTGGGATTTAGTTCGGCCACATGCTAAGCTTTGTTACAACACGATAAAGCTTTTTGACAAGTTAGAAAAATGCAACTTAGAGCCGGGTGAATATGAGTTCAACTAAAGTATGGAAGTTGCCAAGCTTGTGCCATTTGTGGAGCCTTTAGATTCGAAGACGAGTCTTTTTCAACCAGGGAAGAATGATGTAAAAGAAGAATCTATGTTAAATTTTATTAATTTTGGCCAAGATCATGTTTTAGAGCTCAGGTTCAAATATATGGACGTATTTTCAAGAAGCACAAGAAGTCGCAAGAAGCCCAAGATTGATTTCAAGAAGCCAAGACCCTTTCCTTCTTAAAATAGGATTTAGTTTATTCCTTTTAGAATAAGGATTTTTCTTTTAGTAGGATTCTAGTTTCTTTTCCTTGTAGAATATGGATTTTACTTTCCTTGTCTTTAATTATTTTATTTCCTTATTAGAATAGGAATTGTAGTCATCAAAGAAGAGACTTTAGGCCTATATAAAGGGTTCTCTTGCCTTGTAGAATGAAATTGACGTTTTTGAGGCTTGCCCTAGTTTTACAATAGAGTATTTTTCTCTATTTTGTCTTCTTTATCCTTGTTTTTGGTTCCAAGCAAGATGGTGATAGTCTTTATCTTGTTTTCAATTGCGTGTGATGTTTCTTTATCACGTTAATTGATTCCAAGTGGTGACTTTAGGAATTTTATAGTTCTTGACTATGTTGCTCGGACTCTCCAAAAGTGTTGCCGCACCCGTGTCGGATCCTACAAAAATGCACTAAATTTGGAGGATCCGACACGCACCCAACAACATTTTTGAAGAGTCCGAGTAACATAGGTTCTTGATCATTCAAGAACACGTTTCTTGATCTAAATTCGTTTTTTTGATATCATAGAATCATAACTTTCCTTGAACCGGTACAGTATAAATATTTACTTGTTTGGAAAGAGTAAATAGTCTTTCTTATAGTTCAGATCGTCATTTTTCACCTCGTGTTTGAATCATCAGATTCTGAGTCGTAAAACTTGAGATACGTTGTTTTTTGAAATTGGCCCGCAAAACCACGTTTTCGTTTCAAGATCTTGATCCTGGTAGGTTGGTTCTTTGTTAACTCGAAGAATCACATCAGGAGTTCGGCATGACTCGTAGTGAGGTTGATCACTCTGTGTTTTATCGGCATTATGCTCTTAATCTGTGTATTTATCTAGTGGTTTATGTTGATGATATTGTTATTACTGGCAATGATCAGGATGGTTCTGCCTGGACAGGGGGGAGCCTCTTAGAGACCCTACGAGATATAGGAGGTTAGTTGAAAAATTGAATTACCTCACAGTGACTAGACTTGACTTTTTTTTTCCGGTGAGTGTTGTAAGTCAGTTTATGGATTCTCCCTGTGATAGTCACTGGGATACAGTTNGATTGTATTTATTATCCAATATCAATAACATATTTTCTCCCGTACTTTCTCACAAATACGTTGAATCAGCAAACCCTGTGGCAATGCTAATTCTTCATCCTGTCATAATCTTTTGAATAATTATCACAATCATCCACATCTTCTGCATACTTTTCGAATTTAATTGTATAACTTCCATTTTTGACTTCAAAGTTGTACCAACTGCCCCATATCAAAGGTTTTTTCTTAATTTTTTGAATCAATATAAAACTACACCAGTTTCAGATTGAACGGCGTACTTAAATTTGACATGATCTTTTAAGGTGGCGTTGGCGGTTGGATTAAAAGACCGTCTAGTTTGGTTTGGCATGTTTAGTTTGTTTTCGTCCTAATTGAGTGATTAAATCTGCTTTTAGGAGGACTTTTTATTGGGTTCGTTCCGAGAAAATTGGCTCCAGTTTTGTTTTATTTTTAGTGATATAACTTTTTACAATTTGAAAGAAGAAAAAACTTTCTTGCAAACTGGCTAAGAGGAAAACATTGACTTTTAAGTAATTCCAAACTTCAATTACTTTAAGTTAAGTCAACCCCGTTTAGATATTGAGTGTTACAACGTAGCCCATTAAGTTCTAATATACCATAATAAGAGGTAAAATATTCTTTTCTATAAAGACATTTTCCACACAGAAAGTCTTTCATTACATCAAAAACTAGTAACATCAATCAACTGTTACCATCCAAAGTAACATAATAAGAATAAAAAAGTTTAACTCTGTCCCTGCTTTTGGACTTGCATACATTTAAAAATAATGAAATCTAGTCGTCCCTTACTTCACATATGCAGCCAAATTAGGCCCTTTAGCATGAGATGAAGGAGAAATTTGTCCCATTTGACCATAGTGTCAAGATCACCAAAACTCAAAGGAGTGACTCTAAACATGCTACTCAGGAACACAATCATCACAGTTCACAGTATATCAGCCATGCACTATTACATTTCAAAATCAAATTTGTAGTCCTAGCTTTAAGTGCCCCAAGAACTTCCTTGCCCCAGATTGGACGCCAGGTACTGACCTACTAAATAGGATATGTTAACACTTTCTTGTTAGTTGAAGGCCTGACGCACCCGGACCCAAGGTGTACCCCTTTCTATAATTGTAAAAGTACAACAAGTTGCTTATTCTAATTGGGACTTTTTATCTCTCAAGCTTATTGCAGTCTATATGAATGCTCAAGAACCTAAATGATTATCCACTTGCATAGCACATAACTTCACAAGTTTTAGCTGTTTTCTAGTATTTTGTACCTTGCTTGAAAAGTAGAGAAACCCTCCCTAGGAGGTGTGCTTCTTACTTCTCAGTAAAGGCATAGTGGAGTCTGGTAGTTCATTCCTAAATAGCTGTCTGAGGCAGCCACAGCTAAGTTTTGTAATTTACTACTTGGTGATTAATAAAAAAGTTTAATTACCAAAAACTTCACAAGCTTAACACTGATTTTTGGCCCAAAATCTTCAACTGACCTGAGTGCTCAGTGAATTTGGCACAAAGCAAAATAGTTATAGTATACAAATGGCCTTCTGACATATAATGGTGCATCATTATAAGTGATGAATCTCAAAGGCAAAAGACATGTTCTGATTAATGAGGTGCATCAAACAAGCATAGAGGCAAAGATAAAGCTCAAGAATATGTGAGTCCATTTGCTAAAGATTAATTCGTGTGGGAATTAAACTAGAATACTTGTCGTATAAATTATATGGAGCCCCAAGTCAAGCAACAACTTCAATTACTAAATTCCACCAGTATCTTTAGCATATCATAGCAGACTGAATAATAAAGAAAAAGAAAGTAGTCTACAGTTGCATAATGCTAAAGACTACATAAATGTATAACTTTAAAGGTGAGATTGAGAAGAAGTTACATAATCTCAAACTACATAAACATACTAATTTCAAAGCTACTTTTTTTTAATTTTAAAGGTACTTATCAAAGAAAATATTACATTAATGGAGAGATTGAGGAGAAGACTAAGAGTCAGGAAACACTTACAGGAACCATAAAGATGATCCGGACAATGTATCTTTGATAAGTTGGCTCAGTGTAATTCAAAAGGTGCCTGTATATGTGCACAAGTGCCAGCGCTATGGCACCAAAGGTGCAAGGCAATGCAATAAGGATGTAATATATAGGGCCCATTTGCTCAGCTGATTACCAAGCATCAAAAAACACCCTCCTCTGAAACCTCAGAAGATAACAAAAATGCCAATAGTAAAACTGGATGATCAAACAAAGAAAGAAACTAGAGAATATTATATGTTTGGTGATGGCTGGATAATATTTTCAAGGATGAATAATTTTAGAGTAGTTGGTTAACACAAAAGAAAACATCTTTTGCCAAAAGGGAGAAATGACTTCCTTTACCAATAAGCACAAGTCATTTCCTTCACAAATATCACAAGTCTTACTCCACATCACTTGCAATCTTATCCCATCACACTTGCTTTAACCGACAGGTAGGGCAGCGCACTAAGCTCCTGCTATGCGCGGGGTCCGCGAAGGATCGGACCAGAAATATTTTCAATCTTTTATACTAAAAATCATAACGGAACTATTCTCATACCCTATCTTACATCTTGCATATGTCACCAAACATACACCGGAAAATATGCAGAAGATGATATAGTAGTAAAACATTTCTACTGGAAACGTTTTCTTCCACAGAAAGAGCTCACGATTACAAACCTAAAGAAACAACAGTGGTTCTCTTTTTCACGATTACAATTCAAGTCTTGATTGGAGATACCACTGCCGTCCGAAAAAGGAAAACCCAATCCCCCAAGGGTGATTCCCTGTAGCAAAAAGTCATAAAGTGAGGAAAGTGTTTGATAGAATTACAAAATTTAGAAGTGATTAAGACAGCTACTACTACGCCTTAATCCTCTATATTCTTTTTGTGCTCCAATACTCAAAGTTTGTCTAGTGTACAAGCAATTGGACAACATAAATTAAAATTGCAAACTAGGTAGAAGTCCAACTAACCTTGTCAATGCAATTGGGGAAGAAAACTGAGTTACTAGAGTCCAATCGCTCGAAGAAGACAGTAGAAGGATAGATCTAATTGTTTGGTTTAAGGAAAATATCAACAAAGTGTCGAGCAAAAGTTAATTTGCAAATGATTTGACTGCGGGAGGGCATATATTCAATTTCAATAGTCTGACAATGAAAACAAATTTTGTTTCACTTACAAAATAATAAATCTCATATTTTTCTCGATTTTTTTAAGGAAAAAAGAAGGTTTAATTGTTATTAGCACAGTTTAGAATTTAGAATTTCTCAACTTACTCGTTTGCCTAATTTAGATAATTGATTTACAATCGCCAAACATAAGTCAAAATCTACACCGACCTCACATTTTGGGCTTATACCACAGGGTAATTCAACCTACCAGAAATTACGTGAGCATGATATTTAATATTTGTCCCCTGACTCTGTTTTACAACCTTTTATAAAAAAAAATAAGCTCCTTTTATTTACAATATATATGGCAATTAACTTTTATACCCTTCCATTTCCTGCTTGTTCCCCAACTCTTCTTCTTATTCTTTCTCATTTCTCCTCCTCTCCTCCTCCGTTACGTAAAAGAGCACGAATCCATAAAAGAATACGATTACTAGTTTTGTGTATACGGTCGAAACCGAGTTTTACCTTTCGTATGATTAATCGAGATTGAAACATGATGGTTCAAGGTTCATCATTGTAATATCGAGCCATGGTACAAAGAATATATTGTCGAGCTCGAGACCCAGAGACTGATCAAGATCGAGGTCGGTCAAGATCAAGCTCGAAGACCCAGAGACCGATTAAGATCGAGATCAGCCAAGATCAAGATCGGCGAGGATCAAGATCGAGTCAAGAAACAAAAAGTCGTTACAGCCGCAATTAGAGAGAGAATCTCGGCGGAAATCATGACATGTATCAAGAAGAGGCCGATTAATTAGCTCATCACGAGAGTCTTTACTATATTTAGAATTGTATCAAGAGTAGGACTCCACTATTATATAAAGGGGGTCTGATCATTTGTAAAAGGGGCTCAGACAGTAAAAAAAGCAATATAATATTCTTTTCTCAAGGTTCTCAATACTATATTACTTCGCTTATATTTTCTTTGTTGTTTCATTTGGTTCGAGGGCCCAAGCTACATATCTCATTTGGTTTGCTTTTATTTTTCTTTATAGTCAATTTCAATATCAGTTTGCATATTTTCTTAGTTTATGTTAAGTAAAATCACGTATCCTTAAAACCACATATAAATTCAATTGTTATCTGCTTTTAGGGTAAACAATTTGGCGCCCACCGTGGGGCTAAGGACAATAGTGATTGCCTGGTGTTAATTTTCATAACACACACTGCTTTACACTTGTTCTTGTAAGCATTTTTTATTTCAGGATCAACATGTCAAACTCTCAAGCAGTACCCACACACATCGACAACGGCCTTGGTTTTCATGGCGAAAACGACAACGTAGCCGCCCCAGGAAACGAAGTGCTTCCAATTGACCCCGAGGGAGTACCAGTTACAAACCCCATCGATGTTAGTTCCCATGTTGCCCTGAACGCAAATCTGGGTGTCGACCCCGAAAACAGCATCCGCAAAAGCGTTCGATCAGCCGGTCAGAACTCACAGGGCGGCGAAGAAGGCGGAATCAGCCTTCGAATAATATTCGAAATGTTGTAGGCTCAACAAGCTGCAATAACGCAACTTCAAAATCAAAACCACGCGCCGAGTAGGGTCGAACCCGAGCCATCACAGGAAATTATTCACAGGGCCGAACCAGCACTGGGGAGGTCAAATGGGAATGAGTCAGGAACCGAACCCGCTATCTTGAAAATATTCGAGGAGCTGACTAAGCAAATCGAATCGGGGGAGAAGAAGATTGAAGCGAATGACAAAAAAATGGAAACATATAACTCCCGAGTTAATCAAATTCTGGGAACACTACCGATTTTGAAGGGTTTGGATTCAAAGAAGTTCGTACAAAAGCTATTCCCCCCGAGCGCAGCTCCTAAGCCCATTCCGAAAAAATTCCGCATGCCAGAAATTCCCAAGTATAATGGAACTACCAACCCCAACGAGCATGCCACTTATTACACATGCGCAATAAGGGGGAACGACCTAGAGGACGATGAGATTGAGTCTGTACTGCTGAAGAAATTCAGAGAAACTTTATCAAAGGGGGCAATGATATGGTACCATAATTTACCACCTAACTTCATTGATTCTTTTGCCATGCTCGCAGATACCTTCGTCAAAGCGCACGCCGGAGCGATAAAGGTCGAGACTAGAAAGTCGGACCTCTTCAAAGTAAAACAAAAAAAGACAACGAGATGCTCAAAGAGTTCGTATCTTGGTTCCAAATGGAGTGCATGGATCTGCCCATAGTCGCCGACGATTGGGCCGTTCAGGCTTTCCCTCAAGGCCTAAACATACGAAGTTCGGTAGCCTCACAATAGTTGAAGTAGAACTTGATCGAATATCCAGCTGTAACGTGGGCCGACGTGCATAATCGGTACCAGTCAAAGATTAGGGTCGAGTTTGACCAGTTGGGGACTCCTTCCAGGTCCGCTTATCCAAACAGGACCATCGATAGAGTTAAAAGGGATATTGACCGGGAACCACGGTCAAACAGAGATCGATATTACGGTGGAGATTGGAGAAACAGCGGGCCTGGACGCAACCTCAGTCGAACTGATAGAAGAAATGATCGAGGACAGAGCTCTCGAGGGCTCATGAGTAAAAGAGTTTTCGACAAAAATGTCGAACCTAAAGAAGTACCACGACAATCGGAATACAACTTCAACATTGATGCATCAGCTATTGTATCAGCCATTGGGCGCATCAAAGACACCAGGTGGCCCCTACCTCTACAGACTGATCCGGCCTAGAGAAATCCTAATCAAATGTGCAAATATCATGTCATACGCGGTCATAGAATAGAAGATTGCAGACAGCTGAGGGAGGAGGTAGCCCGTTTGTTCAACGAAAGGCATCTTCGAGAATTCTTAAGCGATCGAGCTAAAAACCATTTCAAGAACAGAGATTCAAACATACAGAATGAGCAAGAAGAGCCGCAGCACGTGATCCACATGATTGTTGGAGGGCTCGATATTCCTCAGTGGCCCGTATTCAAACGCACCAAGGTGTCGATCATGAGGGAAAAGTGAACTCGAGACTACGTACTGGAGGGGACCTTATCTTTCAGTGACGAGGATACAGAGGGGATATTATAACCCCATAACGATGCACTGGTAATATCTGTTCTTATGAATAAAATTCAAGTTAAATATGTTTTGATTGATTCAGGTAGCTCGGCCAACATTATTCGGTCGAGGGTTATAGAACAGCTCGGCCTACAAGATCAAATCGTGCCTGCAGCCAGAGTACTTAACAACTTCAACATGGCAAGCGAAACCACCAAGGGTGAAATTACTTTTCCAATGAACGTGGGCGGGATCATTCAAGAAACAAAGTTCCATGTGATCGATGGTGACATGAGGTACAACGCCCTGCTTGGAAGGCCATGGATCCATAACATAAGGGCAGTGCCCTCGACCCTTCACCAAGTTCTAAAGTTCCCGACGTCGGAGGGAGTCAAAATAGTGTATGGGGAGCAACCCAACGCCAAGGAAATATTTTCAATCGATGAAGTGATACCAGTATCGGCACTCTCATCAACGAAAAGATCGAAGGGAAAACAGGAGGCCAAATAGCAACCACAGATACCGGCCTCGACCCAATTGCAGGAGCAAGGGATCGACGAAGATGATGACTACTGGATACCTCGATCCTTATTAGTTCCCGATGACTCCAATGCCACTAAGTCAACGGTCGAAGAGTTGGAAGAAATCACACTAGCCAAGCATCAACCCGAACGAAAGGTATACCTGGGCACTGGGCTAACCCCCGAGCTCAGGAAAAAACTTATTCATTTCCTTAAAGCTAACATGGATTGCTTTGCTTGGTTCCATCTCGATATGACAGGGATTCCACCAGAAGTTACCACTCACAAACTAAGCCTGGACCCTAAATTCCGCCCGGTAAAGCAAAAAAGAAGGCCCCAGTCCGAGGTTAAACATGCCTTCATCAAGGACGAGGTAACCAAACTTCTCAAAATAGGATCCATTCGGGAAGTAAAGTACCCCGAATGGTTAGCAAACATAGTGGTAGTCCCTAAGAAGGGAAACAAACTTAGAATGTGTATAGATTATAAAGACCTGAATAAAGCATGCCCCAAGGATTCTTTTCCTTTTCCAAATATCGATCGTATGATCGATGCCACAGCCGGCCACGAGATTCTCAGTTTTCTCAATGCCTATTCCGGGTACAACCAGATACAGATGAACCCGGAGGATCAGTAAAAGACCTCGTTTATCACTAAGTACGGTACCTACTGTTATAATGTAATGCCATTCGGTCTAAAAAATACTGGTGCAACTTATCAACGCCTAGTAAACCAAATGTTCAAAGTACAAATAGGAAAATCAATGGAAGTTTATATTGATGACATGTTAATTAAATCCCTTCGAGTAGAGGACCATTTAAAGCATTTGCAGGAAACTTTCGATATATTAAGGAAGTACAATATGAAGCTCAACCCTAAAAAGTGTGCATTCGGTGTTGGCTCAGGCAAGTTTCTTGGTTTCATGGTGTCCAACCAGGGAATCGAGATCAACCCCGATAAAATCAAAGCTATCGATGATATCCGATCGTGTAGAGGCTGACGAGGTGAATAACTGCCCTAGGATGATTTATTTCGAGATCCTCAGATATAAGCCACCGATTCTTCTAGCTGCTTAAGAAGAAGAGCAATTTTGCATGGACTCCAAAATGCCAGTAGGCCTTAGAGGAACTAAAGCGGTATTTATCGAGCCCGCCGCTGCTTCACACCCCGAAAGTGGACGAACAATTTTACCTGTACTTGGTAGTCTCGGAGATATCGGTAAGTAGAGTCCTGGTCCGAGAAGAACCACGTATGCAATTCCCTATCTATTATGTTAGTCGAACCTTGGGTGCGGCCAAAACTAGATATCCAGGAAAATTAGCGCTTGCTTTAATAAGCGCCTCTAGGAAACTAAAACGGTATTTCCAATGTCATCCAATATGTGTCATAACAACTTATCCTCTTCGAAATGTTTTGCATAAACCCGAGCTTCCGGGTCGATTGGCCAAATGGGCCGTAGAAATCAGCGGGTATGATATTGAATATCGATCTCAAACCGCCATCAAGTCTCAAATCTTGGCAGACTTCGTGGCTGACTTACGTCGGCCCTCGTACCCGAGGTTAAAAATAACAATTTCCAGAGTGAGTAGGATGTTCTCAAATATGCTCCTCCCTTTTACAAATCCATACTGATTAGGTGATATTAGTGAAGGTAGTATCTTTTCCAATCTATCATGTAG